AAATTGGAGGTATCACAATTCCAGATTTTAAGTTATATTACAAACTGTAGTAATCAAAACGGTATGGTACTGGCATAAGATAGACACACCGATCAATAGAACAGAATAGAAAACCGAGAAATAAACCCATGATTATATGGTCAATTAACCTTTGACATAGCAGGAAAGAAGATGCAATGAGAAAAGACAGTCTCTTCAACAAATGGTGTTGGGAAAACTGGAAGCAACATGTGGAGGAATGAAACTGGACCACTTTCTTACACCAAACACAAAAATAAACTCAAAATGGATTAAAGACCTAAATATGAGACCATAAATATCCTAAAAGAGAGCACAGGCAGTAATTTCTCTAACATCAGCTATAACACATTTTTCTAGGTTTGTCTCCTGAGGCAAAGGAAACTAAAGCAAAATAAACTATTGGGACTACATCAAAATTAAAAGCTTTTGGACAGTGAAGGAAACAACTAACAACACCAAAAGACAACCTACAGAATGGGAGAAGATATTTGTATATGACATATCCAATAAAGGGTTAGTATCCAAAATACACAAAGAACTGATACAACTCAACACCCCAAATCAAATAATCCAATTAAAAAATTGGCAGAGCACCTGAATAGACATTTTTCCAAAGACGACATACAGAAAGCCAACAGACACCTGAAAAGATGCTCAACATCACTCATCATCGGGGAAATGTAAATTAAAAGTACAATGAGATACCAGCTCATAACTGTCAGAATGGCTATAATCAAAAACACAAGAAACAAGTGTTGGCTATGATGTGAAGAAAAAGGAACCCTCATGCACTGTTGGTGGGAATGGTGCAGCCCTTCTGGAAAACAGTATGGAAGTTCCTCAAAAAGTTAAAAATAGAACTACCCTGTAATCCAGTAATTGCATTACTGGTATTTATCCAAGAAAACAAGAACACTAATTCAAAGGGGTACATGCACCCCTATGTTTATTGCAGCATTATTTACAGTAGCCAAACTATAGTAGCAGCCCAAGTGTCTATCAATAGATGAATGGAAAATAAGTGATATGCATATACAATGGAATATTATTCAGCCATAAAAAAGAATGAAATCCTGCCATTTGCAAAGACATGGATGGAGCTAGGGAATATAATGTTAAGCAAAATAAGTCAGTCAGAGAAAGACAAATACCATATGATTTCACTTATATGTGGAATTTAAGAAACAAAACAAATGAACAAAGAGAAAAAGAGAGAGACAAACCAAACCCAGACTCTAATAGAGAACAAACTGATGGTCACCAGACGGGAGGTGAGTGGTGGGATGGGTGAAATAGGTGATGGGGATTAAGAGTACTTAAGAGTACACTTATCATGATGAGCACTGAATAATGTATAGAATTGTTGAATCATTATATTTTACACTTGAACCTGATATAGCTGTGTATCAGCTATACTGGAATTAAAATTTAAAAACTTAACAAAAAAATGAAAAAAACAGCTGCTTCTCTAAGGTCCTTCGCACCACATTCCCATCTACTTCTCATCTCATGCTGTGCTCTCAACCCCAGTAAATGTCTAGAACCCTCAATTCTTGTTTTTTTGCCAGACATTATTCTGGAACACCAAACTTGTAGGGAGGGTGTGCATGGGGGCCTGTTGTTTGTAAAGCAGACAAGTAGGAAAGAGGTGTGTTTCTTAACTGCTCTTCTCCTTTGCTGGTCGAATAAAATGTCCTTGTGTCTGTTTTTTCCTATAGGAAGCAGACACGAGTAAAGAAGGGGGCAGTACCATAATTACTGAGGACAGGAGATGTACTTTTCTATATCTAGGACTTTGCACACGAGAGAGAGAAGCCCTCTCCGAGGACAGGGAGGCTTGTTTCCTGTTCACTCCCATCATCTCCAGAGCGCCTGAAAAGTGCCTTTTATAGGACAGGTGCTAAAGATTTTGTTAATGAACAAATGACAGCGATTGGTCCAAACAGAGCATCAGTCCTGACAAAGAAAAATTCATAAATACAATTAGCAGGAGATTGAATGAAGAAACTGCGCTGAAAATTCCCAGGAAGGGCTTAGTTGGTGTGAATATATCCTTAAGCCAAAATGCTTTGCTTATTTATACTTCCCGTTATTCCTGCTGGAAAAATTCTTCTTCCAGATGTTTTTCTATCTTGCCTCTTCACTTCATTTAGGTCTCTGTTCCATTGCCATATGCACAGAGAGTCCTTCTCTGACTATCCATTTAAACTGCTGATACAAAATTGCAAGCATATATAAAAGTAAACAGAATAGTAAAATGAATTTTTATGTACCCAGTCACCTAGCTCCAACAATGACTATGTTTTACCTGTTCTTAAAAGCACTCATCACTATATATAATTATATATCTTTTTGTATCTAGCTAGCTCCTCTTCCACTAGAATCAAAGAACCAAGAGGCCAGGGACTTTTTCTATCTGGTTTATTTCTGTTTCCCTGACGCTTTGCACACTGTCTAGCACATTGCAGGTGCACAAAAGCATTTGTTCAATGAGTGAATGACTAATTAAGAGAAGATTGCACTGGGTGTAGTGGGTTCTAAACTATTTGTAGAGATTTGCAATGATCTGTTTTTGAAGTTGGCGGTATTTATTTTTAAGCCCAACTTTCTTATTTAATGTTTATATTCTAGATTTGCTTACGTGGTGAGAAGTGATAGAATCAATTCGCACATGTTGTTTTTGAGCCACTGCTATTTTGAGATTTCTGTCAACAATCTAATGTACTGATCATTAATTTTCAAATATCTTCTGGTGGCTTTGTTTTCAGGTTGTTGTTTTTCTGTTCTCTGAAAATATCTTTATGAAAGCATTGGACATCAGACAAGTATAAAGAATCGTATCCTAAATCTGCTCTTTAAATACATGTTAAAATCATCTGCCAATTTTATCGCTGATTTTTTAAAGAAGATTGATCTGATCTTTCAAAAGATCAAAGTATTATAGTCCTTCTTTCATCCTCCAACCCATGTAATGTGATTTTCATGTGAAGATACAAAAACTCCAGGAAGGTCATTTTTGATGTCCTGGTGTCAATTTTATCTTTGAGTCCAAAATAGTATCACAGAAATCGTCGGTACCCAGTGCATGTTTGTTGAGTGAATAATCTGTAAAATGTGAAGGAGATGGATATAATAAGAATTAGGCATATTGTGTGTATGTGATCTATCAGTATTTTCTGAATTTCTGCTGTGCTTAGAATGCTACCTTAAGCATTCAAACTTTGGTTATTGTTCCTTGAGGTACAGTAAGTAACTTTTCTATAAGCTGTAGTACTTTTTAAAATCAGTACTCTTGCAAATTCTTTTGAGGAATTTAAATATAAACTGTACATGTGGTAGTCGTGCTGGTCTGAGGTCTGCTGCAGTTAACTAGTGAACCTTGAAATATCCTGAAAATGTGATAAGGCTAAAAACAGATTTCTTTCTTACTCATGAAGTGACTTCTGTGGGTCCAGTGGATCCAGAACAGCTCCCTTCAAGTGATTAAGTCAGGGATTTTGTTGGCTTTTGTCTTCTGGTTCAACTCATGGCTTTTAGATTTCATGGAAGGGACAGAGCTTTTCCCTGCCTTATTCTAGAAGTAGCAAGTATTGCCTCTACTCACAGCCCAGTGGTCAGAATTAGACATATGGCTCAATATAATCACCAAAATTCCAAGAAGTGTTGTCTAAGTGCCAGGAGGAAAGGAAACCAAATATTGGCAATGACTAATGGGATTACAACTTAGACCCCATGCCATGGAGCTCAGAGGTCAAAAGACTGTCCATTCATTCATTTAACGTTTAACCAGTAAGATCACAGATGCCTAATAGTGATCTAGTTGCAGTTGCTCCTCACAGTGAAACACATGTATATTGTAAGGCTGACGACATAAATGTACTTTTGGGGACAGTTGCTATATTTTAGCAAAGTTATTTTTTTTAATAATAGAAAAAAGAGCATTAAAATGGCAATGCCTTTAAGATATCTTTCACATTAAGAAACCTGGAACTAGGTCATCTAGAGAGGCTATCTTAATTCTACAGCCATCAAAGGTAAGTATGAAGTCCATCAGGTCAACATTTTAGGTACCTGGAAGAAGGAAACAAAAGGAGGGATAGAGGTACAATTTTCAGCTGAGGCAGCTTTCTACAGGAAGCCTTCCAGTTTTTCCAACTGCACTGTCACTTACATGACATTAACCAGAACAGAATCACACAGTCAAAATAAATACAGTGGAGTTTGGGCGATGTAGTGTTTTGGCTGGGCACTTTGCTTCCCTGAATAAATTAATGTTTCGTTATTAAGAAAGAATGGAGGGAAAAAAAAAGAAAGAATGGAGGGAAAATATCGAGTGAACAATTAGCAAGTTCTGTTGTAGTTAAGAAGGATCTCTCTCTCTCTCTCTCTCTCTCTCTCTCACACACACACACACACACACACAGACACACACACTAGCATACACAATCCCAAATAAGTAGAGATTCCTTTGAGATTGTTCTCCTGTTGTTTCTATACTAATTAACCTCACTAGAGCAAGAGGGAAACAGTTTCTTTTTCTTTTTCTCCTATTACTTTTCTGTTCACAGAGTAAATGTTTCAGTAAATATTTCTGCTACTGACTTTGCCATTAAATAGAACCTTATTTATTGAATTTAGATGCAGTAAAGCAATTGATATTTTAATTTAGTCAAATACAGTAATATAATATGATCAGAGCTTTAACTTGTCCTTAGCCGTCATAGTCCTATATACCCCTCTATACTTTTAATGAACATTTGCCTCATAAAGGGAAGGCTTAGAAACAGATGTACCTGTTTTAATATTGAGACTTCATATACAGCATTTCTTGTTCCTTTAGGTTTATTAGTATGAGAATAATGAAAGAAGGCCTGAGCCATACAAAGCCTGGAAACTGGATTCAGCATGTTTGCTACCTATTACAGAGAATTAATTTAACTTATTTTAATTTTCCCCAACTTTGTCTGCCTTCTCCACAGGCTATACATTGACGGTCCATTTGGAAGTCCATTTGAGGAATCGCTGAACTACGAGGTTAGCCTCTGTGTGGCTGGAGGCATTGGAGTAACTCCATTTGCATCAATACTCAACACCCTGCTGTATGTTATTTTGATCCATTTTATTAGTTCAAATAGAGAACTATCAGTGTTTCAAACATCTCTCTCTTAGTGTGAGGTAATCCCTCATAGAATTTGTCTACAGTAACACCCCCTCTTATGTAGAGGGAATATGTTCCAAGATCCCCAGTGAATGCCTGAAATTGCAGATAGTACTGAACCCTACATACATTATGTTTTTTCCAATAAATACGTGCCTGTTATAAAGTTTAATAAGTTAGGCACAGGAAGAGATTAACAATAATAACTAATATTAAAATTGAACAATTACCACAGTATACTGTGATGAAAGTTATGTGAGTGTGGTGTCTCTTTCTCTCCCTCAAAATATCTGATTGTACTATACTCACCCTTCTTCTTGTGATGAGGTGAGATGGTAAAATGCCTACGTGATGAGATGAAGTGAGGGGGATGATGTAAATATTATGCTGCTATTGACCTTCCAACAATATGTCAGATGGAGAATCATCTGCCTCCATGGATGACCACGGATAACTAAAAACCACAGAAAGTGAAACCACAGATAAGAAGGGACTACTGTACTTGTTGTTCATAGAACTCCATTTACTGATTGATGAGGGTAATAATTCAATGATTCTCAGTATGTGGTCCATGGCTTTCAGCACGCTGTCTTGTAAAGTATTACCATCAGGCATTTCTCTGTCCTTTTTTTTTTTTTTTTGATTTTTTTTAAATTTATTTTTATTATGTTATGTTAATCACCATACATTACATCATTAGTTTTTGACGTAGTGTTCCATGATTCATTGTTTGCATATAACGTACTGCATGGAGCACTGGGTGTTATCCTCTGTCCTTTTAAAGCCATTCCACCAGCCCTCATTTCTGTACTTCCTCCTAAATGGTAAGTGGCAACCCTCATCCATTCTATCAGCAAATATCTTTGAGTACTCGTGTGCCAATCCGTCCTATAGGGACTAGTAAATACAGCAATGAATGAAACAGAGTCTCTGCCCTTTAAAAGCTTATATTCAAATGGAACAGGTAAAATAGAAACCAGTGAGAAATTCATAATTAACATTATTTCATAAAATATTAGAACTCTGATAAAAAGAAGAGAGATTAATGGGATATGGAAATAAAGGGCTGGGGTCATTGTAGACGTATGGTCAGGAAAAGCTTTACTACTGAGATGACAAAAGAGCCCATGATTCCTTGGTCTCTTACTCAGCAAATTTATAAGACTGAAGAATAGAAATTTCAAAAGATTGCTCACATAGGAAAGACTTTTTCAGTTATTTTTTTTCTAGGATGATAAGCAAAAATTAATGGATTAATATTATCATGAAAACACAAACAAAATAACAATAGGAAATTATTCTCCAATCTACTCCATTCATTTTTCAAGTAGATACAATTTGCTTTAAGAATCTTTTATAGAGTACTAAAGAAGGAAATAATAAAGTTTAAATGATGTGTTTGAATGATATTTTATTTCAATTTTAAATACTTGTTACAAATTTGGGACTTTTTGGAGGTTCTTAGAAAAATAACCATATTCCAAGCCAGAAATCATTTGTTTCTGAAAACATACTGCAAGTTATTTGGACACTTTAAGTTAAGAAAAGGAGAAAATATTTTCTTAGCCTCAAGCCGACTTCATAATTATAAATAGGAATCCAGACTTGGAATTACAAGGCCCTGGAACGCATTACATAGTAGGTGACTGTTACATCTTCTTTAATGATTTTTAAAAGCGGATAAACAACCAGCTTTCTGGAATGGCTCTGACTCATTCTGCCTGGAGGTCAGGGCATGGCTAATGACCACTGGAGCCCTGCTGAGTGATAAAATTCACTGAAAATAGAGAACTTTTTTTCTGAGACACGGGGCTCATATTCTCATTCAGGAGTTTAGTTTATTGCCTTCAACTGAAAATGGGTGATAGACATATAATATTCACAAGCATAAACACTTAAACTCGTGGAATATATCATGCCTCTGAGCCCGTATATTACATTTTAAATTCATTTGGGAGTTATGGTAAGTGCAATGACAAATGATAAAAAATGATAAATTGATACATGTAAGTGACTGGTTTTTCATTGGTAAATGAAAAGCAAATTTTCAAAGATACAGGGATTCTTATTTTATTTTATTTATTTTTTTGCCATCCTAGTCACTATTGTGTTCTTTAATTTTAAAGGGATGACTGGAAACCGTACAAGCTTAGAAGATTATATTTTATTTGGGTGTGCAGAGACATCCAATCCTTCCGTTGGTTTGCAGACTTACTCTGTGTGTTACATAACAAGGTAAAATTAGGTTTGTTTTTACTTGTGCAATGTTTTTAAATAAAAAAACTTATTTTTTTTCAAATTACAAAAGCAGTAAATGCTCACTGTAGAATAAACCAGAAAATAATGCAGATAAGTTGAAAGAAGGAAAAAAATCTCTTAAACTTCAAATAACAGAAGTAGCATATTAATAATTTAGTACACATATTTTCAGGTGTTGATAACTGATAGTATGTGTTTATATCTATGATATGTCTTAACATAAAAATGCTACTATTTGTGTTTTAACATAGGAATGTAGGCATATGGCCGATGGTGTATGCATATGGGGTGGTGAGGGAAGACAGGGTAACATCAGCTGATGATAGCTACTACACTTTCCATCCTTTGTTCTGTTAGATCTGACCTCTTATTTCCACCTTTAATATTCCAAATGGACAATCACCAGACTTTTGGCACACTAGGCAGAATTTCAAAATTCAAAATTCTAAGTTTTATTTCTTATAGAGATTAAAAAAAAAAACAGACCTTCTTCATCTATCCTACACATAACCTTTTATCTATATATTAATATGTGTATCTTTATTTTTTCAAATTATGTAAATGATACACATGCATTTTTGCTGCAATTTTTTCCTTTTCCTTTTTTAAAAGATTTTATTTATTTATTTATGAGAGATGGGGGGGCGGTGCGAGGGAGTAGACCCCCGCTGAGCAGGGAGCCCAACCAGGACTTGATCCCAGGACCCTGGGATCACGACCAGAGCTGAAGGCAAACGCTTAACTGACTGAGCCACCCAGGCGCCCCTCCCTTTTCTTTTTAATTGTAGTATAGTTAACATACAGTAGTATGTTAGTTTCAAGTGTACAACATAGTGAATCAACAATTGCACATTGCAAACTGCTCACTACAATACAATATGTGTAGTGATAATCTGTCACCTATAAATTTTTTATAATATTATTGAGTATATCCCCTATGCTGTAATTTTCATCCTTGTGACTTATTTATTTTATAATTGGAAGTTTGTACCTCTCAGTCCCTTTCACCTTTTTGACCCATTCCTCCACCCCCTCTTCCTTTTGGCTACCATAGTTTGTTCTCTGTATTTATGAGCCTGTTTCTGTATATTTGTTTTGTTTTTTGGACTCCACATATAAGTGAAATCATATGGGATTTGTCTTTCTCTGGTTTATTTCACTTAGCATAATACCCTCTAGGTCAATCCATATTGTTGCAAATGACAAGATCTATTTCTTTTGTGTGTGTGTATATATATATATTCCTATCCATTCATATGTCAGTAAACTTTTTTTTTAAGATTTTTATTTATTTATTTAACAGAGATAGAGAGAGAGCATAAGTAGGCAGAGCGGCAG